AAAACTTAATTTTAAGTACATATAGGGAATACTCTTAAATTTTAAATGCAAAATTTGATAACTCACGTTTCTGCTGATATTGTAAATAAGTCAAAAAAGCCACTCAACCATTACTTTTGAACATCTAGCTACTTAATTCTGTATAGCACTTAATGAATAACAGTAAAATAAATGATTTAAAAATATGAGGTAGTCATAGTATCCTCCTTCTGTGAAAATGAGAAGCAAAGAGGCCAAGTAACTTGGTGATCTTGTGGAACATCAGAAATCAATCCAAATTCAGAATTAGCAATCTGAATTTCTGTTTTCAGAACTGTCTATTAAGGCTACAACCTGTTGTTTCAATTTAGCGTGGGGATGGGTTGAAGGGGTGACTGCTCCCTATAACAGAAACAAGTACACAGAATTATGGCTAATAATGTAAATAATATTTATGTTTCTCTTAACTTACCTAAAAATCTTTGTAAATGTACAGAACAAGATAACTCAAGATTTAAAGACAAATCTTCAAATCTCAATTTATATACAGTAGTTCCTAAAAAACAAGATAAAGTAGGCTATTGTATCTATAAGAAATTAGGAGTTGCTTTATTTATTTTTAAAAGAGTATTTATTTAAACATAAACTATTATGGATAACTAATAGTTTGATCTGGGATTGGTCTTAAGCCGATTCTTTCTGCCCTAATGCTAGACATAAATCAGATTTCTTCAGAAATAGTGGTTTGAGAAGCCCCATATGCAACCATCCTATTACTCCCTTCCTGTAAAGAGTGGACTGTAAATTAGGGTCTGTTGAAAAGGAAAACACAAACTGTACCACTGCACCAATTGGAAATTTAAGTTAAGAAATTCCCTTTTAAAGATGGAAGTACCACTTAAGCAGAATTCAGAATGTCAGCCATTCATCACTTAATGTGACTGACTCACATTAACTGGCCTCCTAAACACCTAGCTAAGAATGCAAAAACATTAACATTCTTACTGGGAGCTTTGGGGAAGGAAGACAGAAAGGCAATTCTAAACTATGTCCATGCCTGGGTGAAGACTCTGGAGATCAAGAGGGCAACAAAAGAACCCACAGTGCTTCAGTGGGATAGGAGAAGGAAAGAGTCCAGGACTAGATGCTGAAATTCCATCAAAGACAGTTTTAAAACTTATGTACTTTTGATTTAGTATACTGACCAATAGCTGAGCCAAAGTGAATATTTACAGTAAAACATCAGGCAAGCAGCTAATAGTCATAATTGTGAAGAAAATACCATGAAAGTTCAAACAGTCTATATACAGAATATTAAATAACACTAGTATAGTTTGAACTCATGCAACTATGGGTCCCACTGTATTTTACCACTTAATATCATTTTTCTATAACCAAAGACAGATATGGAATGTGTCAAGTTTTTATACGGTCAGCTTGTGTCCACTAACATAAAGAAGCAATCAGAAGCTTTCTACAAATAACACTGAAAATGCAACCATGGAGCAAGTTGTGGTTCTTCCTGATTTAAAATCATTCAATTACAAAACTAGGTTTTTCTAGTAAGAAAAGGAAATTGTTTACTGGTATTTAAAGTTTGAACATTTTTTGATTTAAGGCCAAAACACACGTTTGTATTTTAAATGGATAAAACCTTAGTCACTAAAGAGTCTTAATAAAGCATCTAATGACCATTTTATATAGGTAAGGTGACCCTCTTGTGAGAGAGGGGCATATCTACCTTAAAAGCTAAATATGTCAATTCAGTTTTACTCTAGTCATTAGGTTTTGGAGTATATATTTTGACTCAGATATATAAGAGTCATGTACTAAAATATAATAGGGTCTGCAAAGTGTATTATTTGATAAAGGAATGTTTCTACACAAGAATCCTAGACTAATTGCAAAACACCAGTACCATAAGAATAAAGATCATAAGTTATTCACATAGCCCATGTAAAATCCGCAATTAGATTTTCTGCTGACAATACCTATTCTTGGACAGTTTTATAAGTATGGTTCAAGTCTCACAAACTTTTAAGTCAGAAAACAGTAACTGAAGAGCAATCATCATTTCAAACATTTCCTTTGAACTAATGTTCACATAGCACAGGCATCTCTGACATTTCTAATTTCCAGTAACATGGGCACTTAAATTTATGATTCAAGAAAGGATAAACCAGAGTGCTTACGCTGGCAGCTACTAATGAAATCCCAAGTATAGAAATCTAACCTCTCAAAGCGTAACTGGATTATGGTAATGCCACATATTAAGCATTCATGGCTCTTTTCTACACATTCGTTAGAAATATAAGTGTGCCCAATTCTAGGGAATCTTTAAGCAACTGATATACTTCTCAATAAAATTAGAAAAGCTTTTTAAAATCCTGTACTTAACATTATCAAGTATCAAAATCATCTTTTTGTTAAAAATATTCTTCTGGGAATATAATAATGTTAAGATTACAATTTACAGAATAATAATAGGAGAAAAAAATTATGCCTAAATAGATGTAGTTCTTCCTTTAAAGCTGATTAGTATGGTGCTCGCTCAGTTCACAAAACTTTAGATTTGGAAACCTGTGCCGCATAGTCTGCAGTCATGTTATTCTGCTCGTTGTAAATCCTGAGGCAGAATTAGCATCCTTCATACAACAATGCTACATCACACTGAAACCACAGAGGAACACTAGAGTCTGAACAGCGTTATCTTTTAATTGCACTACTTTAAGGAGATAGGATACATCCAAGATACACCGTAAATAAAGCGGGAAGTGTTTGAATTCTTGGTACTTTGAGCTTTTCAAAGGAAAAGTGTTTTATAAATTCAAGTTGGTAAGTGTCTTGCTGGGCAATGGAAACAAATAAATCTCAGACCAAAAAAAAAAAAAAAAAAGAATCTTAGTTTTCTTAGTTTTTAAAATAGTTCCTAATGTCTGATATAGGATATAAGATACTGGCATTCAACTATTCAGTTTTTATAGAATTACAGTACTTTGGAGAAGTACAAAGAAATACTTTTTAAAAATACAGATATATATAAATTAATGAAACTGGTATTTAAAAGGTTTAATAAAGGGAAAAAAGGTATTATATAGTGGTACCAATTCTTAATACAAATTAGCATAGTTCATATAATTTCAAAAGTTATTCACATTATTGCTCGATACCACAGTCGTATGGAACAAGTTCTTCACACATAAAATCTGTGTAATTCCAGGTTTATAAAAACAAAAATTTACAGATAGGCCATTCAGAAATTTAGAAACTTTTAAAATGCATGGAAATATGTACAACCAAAAGGAGAAAAAAATGTATGTTTGTATATATTTTAAAGAAACAAGCTGATCTGATTCAAACTTACATGTTACAATCTCAATCAAAAAAGTACACATAACTGGACTGAAAGCAAACTAGTAGATAAAACCGGTACTAAATATGTCTTCTATTTTTTTTTAGTAATAATCTGTTTTTAAATATGAATGGGGTATTAAACACCAGCTTACTGTAATTCTAGAACTTTAGCTTTCTTTCAAAAACTTTTCAGAAACATATACCCATTCTACAATTGTGTTAAATTGGGAGAAATATTTTTCTTAGAATTTTTAAGGTAATATTTTTATACTTCTGTATATAAGATTTGATAAACAATAGAAAGTAACCAAATAAGGCCATTATTAATACCATCTTGATCAAAAATATACAGATTGTAATGCTACTATATTTTGTAATCCTGAGCTCTAGTAACCATTAGATGCATGCATGTAATTCACTGATTTGTATATTCTAATGAAAATAATTTAATCCTGCCTTGCTACTTTTGAAGACAGAAATACTTTCAAAACTTTTTGACAGGTCTTCATAATGTTACAGATATTTCTGTTGTAAACAGAGCATTAGGAATTGTATGAGAAAGAATGCGTTAGGTTTCCAAAAGCTATCAAAGAAAACTATTTAAAAATAATGACTACATTAAATTTTAAAAGCAAGAAAAATAATGCAGAGTGTGCTTGCTAAATATATAAGTAGAGCCTTACAAAGGTCTTTTTCTATATTAAGGAATTAATAAATAAAGGACTCTGTGTACCTTGGTGGTAAAATAAAAAAGGCTAGCCATGTTTTATGCTAAGTTCAAATGTATTTTTTTGATAATACAAAAAAGTAATCCTTAAAACCAGAATATATAACAGAAAAGAGCACAATAACTTAAGTATTAAACATCTGTATGAAATAACTGTTGCAAAGTTTGACAAAAATGCACACTTAGAACATGCGGTTATTGAAAAAAAAAAAACAACAGAAAAAACACCACACGATTCTGTAGAACCAATGTTATGTCACCACCAGGAGAGCACCAAGCAAGGCACCATTGGAAAGACAACATACTTGGAAAGTCTCTATAAATAAAGTAAATGCTAATCTGGTCGAAAAATCGGTGTCTTTGGTAAAAATTCTATGAGGATGACCTGTAGAAGGAGAAAAAAAAGTTTTAAAAAGATTTTAAAAGATTTTTATCTTAAAAAAAATTTTCAGTTATATTTCATCACTTAAAATGATTTTGACAGTACCTCTGACAAACAGGAGAATGCATGTATGAATGAATGAGAAAAAGGAGCTAGCATTTACTGAGGACTAACTACATACCAAGTGTTTCATACTATATACACCTATTTAATCTCAACAGTTTTTTATAAGGCAAGTCTTATCATCCTAATTTTATAGAGAAAACTGATGATCCAAGAAGTATAATATTATGGATTGTGAAATCAGTATTTGAACAAAGGACTGTCTTACCTCCAAAGCCTTGCCCCTTCTACTGCCCTATTGTGGTTGCAGTTGACTCAATATTTACTTCTTCAACCTTCTTCCCTTTTATCTAAAGCCCAATTCCATTGGTCTTTAAGTTCTTAGACTTACTCTCATTTTACTGTATCAGGATATGTGATCTCTAGACAAAGAGTGTTATCTCTCTCTTTTTTTTAAACATCCTTTTCTTCTCAGGTTTGCAAATTTAAATGTTAAAATTCATTCCAAAGGACACTTTACTAGGAAACTAAAGGGAACAAAACAAAACAAAGTAACAAAGAAAGACACAAGCTGACCAGAGCTAATTTTTATTCCAAACTCAGAACTAACTTAAATTATTATCAATTCTTCCCCATGTCTTAACTCTGTATGGAACAGATGCCAAAAAAAAAAAAAAAATTTTTTTTTTTTAATTGAACAGCTTCCAAGTTTGGTGAACTCAATTCTTTTTCAGTAACTATGTCTTGAGATGATCTCCAGGTTTGGACACTCTCTACATTTAGCCATTTGGGCCAGAAACCTTCATTTTCACCCTTCAGTTCTCCTGGCCTTTGATCTGTCCTAATAAAGAAGGCATCTCTATACACGGCTCAAAAATACTCCTCTCCTAGTGGACTTATCCTGCACTAAGCCTTAGGCACCCCCTTTGCCACTCTCCTGATCTGTGACTTGCTTACAAAATGTTCACTAGCTTCCTATTCAGCTTCCTTATTTGAGCTAGAGTCTCCTGTTTCTCAGTTTCCTCATCTATAAAATAAGGGAATTGAACTAGATGAGAACATTCTTTGCAGCTCTAAAATTTGCTGATTAAATTACATTTACAGTATATACTACATAATGTAAATTAAAGGCTATCTTTGACTATATTTGAATTACTACTAGTTTTTAAAGAATATATCCTACAAACTTTTTTCCTTTAGAAGCCACACACAGAAACTGACCACTTGTCTGATTTCTTCTAGATCATACTGCTCTATCATATCTGAATAAAAAGAAAAGTTGGTATCAAGTTAGTATTTTTCAGAGATTGACTCAAATATTCAAAATATAATGGAGGAACATTATTTTCCTTTAACTAACAAAATAAATTTCTATAAAGAAAAGTTGAGGTCAAATACATGGTAGATTATTTACTACCTTATCTTTTCAAAATTATTTTTAGGAAGTTTTTAAAATTATGTTTTCCCCCATTCAAATATCACAAATATATATACTCTGAGAAAACTTAGGAAAAATATATTTTAAAGCAATTTTAATGTATTTTTAACCTATTCTTCTGGATGTCTTCTATGATGGTGTGAAAAATAATATAATGGCTTTAGTAGAAGTGTTTATGTAAAAATTCATGATAAATTAAAGGAAACTGTTTTACAAACAGAGCACATGGTTCAGAATGTTTTACAAGGTTAAATTATTTTACTTTTAGCTAATAATAGAAAATCATAAAAATAAACATGAATATAATGAGCACACTTTATGAATCAATTACATTCATATAGTTCTATCTGGAAATAAAAACACTAAGAATAACTTTTGTTTTCTTTTCCAAAGTAAATTTGGAAATATGCAAAATAAATAAATAAAAAGCCTCCTTTTTAAACTTTGAGCTTATAAATACAGCAAATACTTTTTCACAAAATCTCTTTACACGTCCATCCCTACTTGCAAAACACCTACTCTCTTACATCTATGATGAAAATATGAGACTAACATTTTTATAAGTCAGTCTCAAAACAAGTTCTTTGTGCTTTTACTAAAGAAGTATCAAGTGTCTTCCTCATCATCATAAATTAACAAGTTTGATATAATAGATAATGATAAAATCTACATTACCTCCTTCTCTGAATAGAGTTATTCTATGAAAAAAGACATTTTTAAGAAATCTTTATGTTCAAGGCTAGAAATGGGATTTGACTGTGTGATAATGAAAGAGAAAATGCTACACAGAAAATGATTTTATGGCAATTTCCAACTATTTAAGCATTGTTTTAATCAATCTTTTATACACACAACACACACACACACACACACACATATATATATATTACCTATGATAGCTATATTGTTTTAAAGAATAGACAAAATTTGTGAGAAATTATTTGCCAGGTACTTCACTCTACCTTAAATCCTTTTCTTTTAATATAATAATCTTCCCATATTTAAAATAAAACACCCAAGCTCAAGGGAGAATAAATAATGATTTATAATTTTCCAAACTATTCTGAACTTCTCAAAAAGAGAAAAATTGTTCAAGTAAATCAAAGAGTCAGTAAATTAAATCCCATTCTAAGTTCTAAAATCCATTGTATTCACGTGCCCATCTGGTATCTTTTAAAGAATAAACACAAGCTGAGCAACATCTCATCTCCTGTTTACTTTGAAGATAATTTTTACAGAATAATATTCTAATAACACTTTGAAAGATTCTCTAAAGGCCACTGAGGTATGGGCAGTTAAAATCTATAAAGGCTAAAGGTTTCTTAAGCTCCAACAGCTTGGCTGAAAGGTTTTCTTCCATACTTGGAAACCTGATTAGCATTATATAAAAAAGCCATATCTGACTTGCTGCGTAACCAAAGTTGCGGTTATTCTTTATACAGCATCTAAAATTTCACACTCCATCAACACACGTTCAGCCTATTTTATCTTGGCAATTAATTTATTATTTTTCAGAACACAGTGAAGCCTTGTTTTCAAGTCATTCATAACTTTATAAATCAGTCTTGCACATGAAACCGTGCATCTGTGAACCGTAGAAAATCCTTGCACTCAGGAGATTAAGCTCCTGACACCTTTGCTGATTAATAATCATGGAAAGAATAAGATCAGAAGCAAAATAAATGATCATTTAATAGAGAAACTCACAAAACAGCCCTTTAACTTACATATTCCATCATGTTATTCGTTTCACATTTCCTTTTGCTCAGTCTCCAGTGCAAACACAGCTAGACAAGTAGGAGAGTAAAAGAAGAAAAATGAGCTCTATTTTACTGCAGTACACAGACTAACCCATTTGTCCACCTTTCATATTTTTAGTTCAACAAAAGCATCTGTTTCCATACTGTGCAATTCAGACCCCAACAGTACGAAGCTGCTCCCTGTGGTACTCACCTTGTGGTATAACCTATTGTTTTCCCATTCTAATAACTTCTCAATCGATCTTCGTGTCTGGAAGACAAATGAGAAAAAAGTTTACTCTTGACTGGATTTAGAAAAACTTTGTTTTGCAGCTGCTTTCTGTGTGAAAAGGAGAAGTATTAAGACAGGAATGGAGTAAAGAGCAGCCTGGAACACTGTCACAGCTCGAGCACTAAACAGCAGCCTGAACAGAAACAGTACTCTATTTTGATAAAGATAAGGTTTTATCTTTTGTCATTGTATTTTTTTTTAACTGTTTCAAACTTACTAGCCTTTGATTTAAAACTATCAGTCTAAAAAGCTAATGTTATCTACCAAATGACACAAATATAAACCCCATTTCTTTCAAAAATATTTTTGTAATACTTCAGTAGTAACAAGAGTTCCTTAATATATATTTTAAAAGAAAGGCTATTTAAACATTAGTCAACAAAATGCAAAAGGTCTTTGGAGTAAATTCAAAAAGAAAATAACTAAAGATTAATAAAAAATCAGTCTGCTATCAAATCAATTGTTTACATCATACTTAAAAATAATGTCCAAATTAAAAAACTAGTTTATTATTCCACAGATAAAGATTTTCAAACAGTTGCAAAGTTGTATTTAAACCAATTATTTTTGTTGGTTTTCAAACAAAATTGGTTGTATAGGAAAATCAAACTCTGTATTTATTACTACTGTTAAAGGAATCAACCAAGAAATTTATGGTTAAGATCATTTGATTTTTTGCAAAACACACCATGCAGCATGAATGCTTCTTGCTTGGAAGGAGTAAAGGGAAGGATAATTCATGGTGCCAGGTGTTAGGATGAGACTGACACAGCTGCAGGTGCAAACAGGACAGTGTTGCCACAAGAATCAACTGCAACTTGCTGCAGCTGCAGCTTCCTTGCAAGGAAAGGAAAAAAGCATCTAGATCTATTAATGTGACACAACTAAGTAAGTATTAAGCATCAAATATGAAAATCTGCATGTGAAGCAAGGATGAGTTAGGTAAAAACTCATTAGGATCAAGCTGGTTTTGAATAATTTAATGTTATATAATAAAATGTTTAATATTTATTCAAAGTATCTACTGTAATAGAGTTACATTACCTTTTAGCACATTGAAGATGCTTAAGACACATCAGTCACATAGGTGCCAATTATAATTCATAACTACCACCACCACCTTACATTTTCCAAGCTTGTGCCATAAAAATCAGAAAATCAGCTCTCTAGGTTATAATATGCCAATGACTAATTTATTACATTTTTTTTGAACAGTTTTTTTTGGCAAGGATTTTAAAGGAAAAAAAAGTGTCCTTGTTAACAATGATCAGCAGACCTCACTTGTTTCTTTGTAAAGATAGCCTTTTAGAAGCAGCTCTCCTTTTAAATGAAAATAGGGCAGCAGTTATGGTCACACTTTTTGTTAATTTAGTTGCCAGTCAGCCCCAAATCAAAAGAAAATAAGGCTGCAGAGTGTAATTAACATTCAGTTCAGTCGTTTTGTCCCTTGTCTAGCCCCCAAGCTTTGTTAAAATTGCCATCTGAATGCTGAAGGCTGTAGGGAAATCGATTTGATTCTAATCGCACCATGAAAAGAACATGATCTAACTGCTTTCAGCCCTCCGTAAATCTGTACTAGGTCTTTAGCACAATGCAACTTCCAATTTAAAAAGCACTGAATGTCTCGTCAATGACTTTGTGAAGAAAAAAGAACAAGGAGCAGACATAAAAATTCCAATAGTTGTTTAAGCATTAAAGTTCATTTGCATCACAGCGAACCTGAAAAGGGCTGACCTCTCAAACCGCCTCTCAGGTCTATGAAGTTGTAGCCTTGACAAGCTCACATTGACAGAGCTCATTGACTCTGAAAGGCTACTCTATCAATGGTGAAAAATGGCAATAGGTTCTACTCTGAGCAGGCATCTGCCTGCCCACCCGCTGCTAAACCAATGGCAAAACCGATTCAAAACCTGAATCTACCTTGTAATCTTCCTTTCTAGGACCTTTTAATAATAGATTAAGATTACTATACAATTTGAGGTTTTACTTTTACTGATGGTTTAAAAAAGGGGGTGAGGTGGGGGGATGAAAGAACTAGGGTGGGGAGCACAAGCTTTCCAAGCTTATAGTTTCATATTAATGAATAAAAATTAAAAGTTTAACATTACGTTCTGCAAATACTCATTAGTTAAAAAGTGTAGTTACCACAATCACCATTTCATCTCAAATTTAAATCCATATGCATAACAAGAAAACATCTCATTATGAATGGATCTCATGGTGTATATGATACACACACGTCAATTTAGAAACTTAACAATATTTACTTAAAATAACTTAAATCAACTACTAGTATTTGAATAAAGATAATTATAAAGTATGAACCTTATATTCTGAAATATTTATGTGGGAATTCTGAATTTACCCTTTGCCTCTAATTAAGAGCTTAATGATAGGATTTGATACAATAATTATATCTTACAATATTTAAAAGCTCTAAACGAAACAAACTGGTGTGCCATATTCTAAATAAACATCTAAATATAAAATATTTCTACATAGTTAATAGTCAGGATTAAAAGCTGTGAATTAGCACAATCTAATCTTGCTATAAGACTTCTTTCCAGCTTGACAGGTGAAAAAAAAAAAGCACTTGCACGTGCAGCTTAATTAATCATCGCACTTGACATCTCAATGATTTACAGTGAGGAGCAGGTGAGAACATACAAAACCAGAAAGGAACCCTTAATCTGAGTGGAACATTTCTAGCACACTAAGGTGACAAGTATATAGACTCTAACAGTCATTAAAAAAAAAAAAAAAAGGAAAGAAAGAAAGAAAAGAAACTGTGCCACAAATTATTTGTTAGTAACAACAAAAGCTCAAATTAAATGGAAAAAAAAGCTTTGACTACTGAGAATGTTTAATACTTTGCAATTATTTTCAGTTAGCAAGATCAAAATATATATTTTCAGGATTAAATACAGTACCAATTTGGCAGATAGTGAAAAAACATGACACTTCAGCATTTATAAAAGCTATTTAAAAGCCTTTAATGATGAAAAGAAAGCACCTTATTATTGCAGTAATCTAGAAATTAAAAGTTAAGAGTTTATGTCCACAAGGTTGTCAAATGAAATATAACATTCAACACTGCCCAACTTTATAATTACTGCTGGACAAAAAAAATCTAACAGTATAAAAACTGTCTTTGATTTTTAAAAGTTTATACTGACCACCAAATTTAGCATAAAGCAAGCTAATATACATCAGAAAAAAATAATATGTATAGGGTCTTTTGACATAAAACACAAACAAAAAATCATCTTTCAGTATTCTAGGCCAGTGGATTTCTAAAAATAAGTCATCTCAATTTTCTTAAAAGAATTTGGTGCTTGTGAAAAGCACCAGATTGACAGTCATGGGAACTAAAAATCTTCTATTTAACTGAAAGAACAGGGGAAAGGGCAGTGCAGGCTTCAGTGCAAGCTTCCCTACAGTGGGCCTTAATCCTTTTCAGTGCTCACGCCCTGGGGGAGAGAGGACAGGTTAGTGGTTCTTAACCAATGAATCTTCAGTCCTTCTGCATAAGATGATTAACAAGAAATCTAACTTTTTCATGGATCCTTACTCTAAATTAAAAGGACCAAGACCACCAACTCATACCACGTAATCAAAACAAGTTTTTTTTGTTTTTGTTTTTTTTTTATGAGAATAACATCATGTCAACTAACCTGGTTGGGTAAAGAACTGCTCTAAACATCTGGATTCCCATCCATCTCTCTCATTACAGAGCTTACTTCAATTTTTTTTTATACATTTTCTCATTTCAACACCTTGCTAATTATATTTTTCTCACTAATGAACTAGATCTAATACAGCCATTCAGCAATGTTACAGTAAAAAATAACAGATTCAAAATCATCATTTCAATTATAGACATATTTACTAAACAGATTCAACCTGAGTAACAAACAGAATAGAAGGATAGAAATTTTGGTTTCTATTCCTTTGGTTCCCTTTAAATTTGGAGGAGAATTGTGGAAATAAGTCAAAACATGAAAACTGCAAGAGAGGTAAAATGGCCTCGATAATTCACAAAATGGCTAATTAAATTATGATTAATCAACAATTAATATTAGATATGATATTCCCCTATCAACTTTCAAAGAAGCATCTAAAGTAAGCTTACAATAGTAATATGCTTATTAAATACCTAGATATAGTAAGTTACTGCAATTGAAAATTAGAGTTTTCTGAAAATTCAAATTTGACTTATGAAAAGAAGCTTTTTTTGTAATTTTTCTAAATATCATAATTTTCTAAGGAATAAGTTATTATTCCCTACAAACAAATTATGTGCCTTTAGATATAAACAAATCTTTCAGGACAGCAAGGGATCATTTAGAAAGTCTTCAATGTATTACTTTCCACTTTATTACCACTATTACTTAATAGCGTACTCATTACCAATAATTCATTTACTCACAATCGTTTGAAAAAGTAGTTCTTCAAAGAAGTGGTTTTCTAGAAGTTGCTAATAAAATCGATAGAAATCTCATGAATTTTAAAGTACTTTAAACCAAAAGAAAAATGTTAAATGTGAAAGCTGTAACACAATTTCTCTGAATTTTTCCCAAAGAAATAGCCCTCTTATCAGTCTTTAGAATATAAAGATGCTAAGATGTTAACAAAATGTATAAATAGAATCTCACTAATAACTATTTGTAAAAGTTCAGCTATTTAAACTTAAAATTAAAGTTTATTTGAATAGGATTTATTCATAACATCACAAAAGGTCAAAGTGCAATTTCAAATGTTCAATTTCTTACTTAAAACAAGTTTTAATTTTAAACTCCTAAGTTTATATGCATTAAGCTTTAACTAGAACAATGCTTTGAATGTATTCATAATTTTTTAAACTTTTTAGTATTTTTCAAATAAGAACTATACTTATCTTTTGACTCTGTGCAAATTTAAATCATTAAAATAAGTGAAACAAAAATGTTTTTAAGTTATAAGTCATTAGGAAACCATAC